CCTGCTAGGTCAAAATAGAGCCCTGCACTTCTAATTAAAGAAGACTACAATTGAGGGAGTATGAGTGGCCAGACCTGAAACCCATTTGTCAGAAACTCGCTTTCTCACGTGCTGGTGCGTTCAGATTGCAGGAGTCTTCTCCAAAGTCCGAGCCATCTTTCTCGGTCGCTGACGTCTTTAGGGCTTTAGGGTGATTGTGGACGGACTGTTTGCGTGCTGTGTTGGCCCCAGGTTGTTAGAATTGGCGGCCCACCCTCTCCCCCCACACTTCCTCATTGTGATTCTGAAACCCCAACGAGCAACAACTCGACCGTTTAAGGTCAGGAAAGATTTTAGCCTCTACCGGAGGAGAAGCTCCACCAAGCAGTCAGGAGCTTCTGCCCTTCAGAGCGCTTAGTGTTGCTACAGGCTGCAGACCTATTTACATAGGTCCCCCGCCCTATCAGCGAGTTACCCAACCCATATGCTTCCATCCCTTCGCCGCTGCCTCCGTCCTTGCGGAGCACGCTTCGCCGGCTACCAGCCGCGCCGGGCTGGGCCGCCGACGGTTTACCACGAGGCTTCGGGTGTGAGGCTCTTGAGGTAGGGTTTTGGGTTTAGGGTTTAGGGTTTCGGCGTCCAATAATGGTGTCTGTGCTTGTTATAAGGTTTTTTGCTTTTTCTCGCTGCTGAAGCGGTCTTCTGTGTAGAACTTGGGTGTGATGTGCAGCAGTTCTTGGATAATGGTTGGGAGGACAGTAACCCGAACTGTTGGTGCGTAGCAGCACTTCGCGCAGGCCTGTTGCTCCCGAGTTTGCAAGTTTAACGGTCTTGCCTCTGGGGTTATATTCGTCAAGCCGAGTAACAGAGTGAGAGTTGCTGGCACTGCCGAGCGGGGGACATCACGAACCATACCCGAATCTACAAGCCCTCGGTGCGTTGATCCTCTCAGCTGGTTGCCCGCGTCTTCAGGCATACTCGCCGGAATGGCCGGTGACGCACCGCTTTCCCATGTGGAAGTTCAAGGCTGTGAGCTTCCGGGTGTAGAGTCGAGGGTTCGGCGCATTGTTTTGTCATATAGTCCCCGAATGATACCCGAAAGTGCTGGGTGGCATCATTTTCAGGCAAGAGTCGATCCTACGAGGTAGGCCAGAGTGCCCAGGTTCAAAGGCAGCAGCAAGGCAATAGCAGCCGTGTGAGCTTGAAGACCCTGGATGCTTCATGAAAAGTCAAACTTCCAGCTGCAAGCCTGTAGCTCTGGGTGCTTGTATTGAAAACTATAGGTATCTGTTACACAGACTGCAAGAGCTGCTCAAGGCTGTTCAGCACACTCAGCCCACTCCGTTCCGTGTCGAAGGATTTGGCCGAGCTGCTGGTGGAGGAAGGTCTCCTGGAGCCGCTTGCTTGGCTTTTTTGTATAAATTCTGCTGTACCCTATGCTCGATGTCCTGGCTCTATGGTTGCGGGTTTCGAGCTTATAGCTGCAGGTTCAGGATGGCTTTAGCTTGTTATCCACGAGTCTAAATCCAAAAGGACGTCGATGGCCAAGGGATTTGGACTCACATCTTCAGGATATCAGAGGCATGCATGAGCACGCTGCTTATGGTGGCGAGTGCCTGAAAAGCGAGAGGCCTCGAAAGCTGCGAAATCCAGTGTTTCGTAAATGTTGTGTTGGGCTCTAGCGGCACGGCGTTGAAGCAGTTCCGGATTTGCGTGTCGAAAGGGAAATAGGCTAGGACTCGGAGGTCTTGTTTCAGTAGTTCATCAGGTCGACATGAGCATAAACAGTTCAAGCTCAAAACCTCCCCTCCCTAGACTAAAGATGCTGATGAACTGCGGGTGACGTGTCCAGACTAGACCATGCATGCAGATCCAAAGGCCAAAGGAAAACCCGGAGGTCGTGACATACTGGCCAGCTTCATCCTGCGATCCCAGGTCCTTTTCTGACTTCGTCACTCCCCAAGATCCGCCGGATGAGTGGTTTACTTTGGCCCATGAGGAGACCGGCTGCATTCATGTTGTTGTCAGGAAATTTCAATTCAGGTACAGTTCAGCGAGCAAACTACGCTATGCACGGAAGCAGACAAGCAGGCCCATAGAAGATTCGTTGCTTAGTTGTATTTCAGCTCAAGGCCTTCCGGCTCCTTGGTGCCGACGCTGATCCCAGGAGGAATACTACCGAGGCTTCATTGACAGCACACTGGATCCTGTTCGCTGGCGACGCATCGGGCCCCTATGGCTTGACCGAAGTATACGCCGCAAAAATTATTCAATTATTCGACCACCTTCTATCACGCAGGCTGACACTGAGTAGAGTGCTTCACCTGTCCACCTAATGCATGACATTATGGATCACCGCGAGTAGCTCTGTAAAGCCAGCAGCCATTTTACCATCAAGCAACCGAGTTCCAACATGCTCAGGCTTGACGGTGACCCTGAGTGCTTTCGGGTTAGGGCCGTCATGACTGCTGGGCACGTGGGCCGGCAAGGACGACTGCATGCCCTTTGGGCGGGCTTGCTGTTGCGCTCTCTCTGTAGGCACGCAATGCTTGGAAGTCCTTTTGGCTTCTGCTTGCCAGACAAACGAGCAGAACGAGCCGCGCGGCAGCTGCGCTCTGGCACGAGCCAGTTCAACGGTGTACACTGGCACAAGCGGGGGAAGAAGTTTGGAGTGCAGGTTCGGTACGATGGGAAACTTATCCATGTAGGGTACTTCTTGAATGAGACGGAAGCTGCTTGTGAGTTTGACAAAACATTGCGATCCATATGCCGCGATCCTGTAAGATTGAAGAAATCCCTGAACTTTCCGACGAAGGAGGAGGCATCCTATGAAGAACCATTGTCGGAGAGGCGCTCCCGGGGTCTGAAAAAGAGCTCCAAAAACCGTGCGAAAGATGTGGAGTCGTTGCAGCGTTTGCAGCATCGCTTCTCGAAATCTCCAGAGGCATCAGATTTTGAGATTGCCAATGTCCCGTCCCTGTCGAGAGTTGATGCTTTGTTCCGGCCCCGAGGGGCGAAGAGCGGAGGCTTGCCGCTTCAGCTGAAGTCTTCGAGCTGCCATAACTATAGTGGTGAATACTATTTCTATGCGTTTAGCAACACGAAGGGCTACGAGGGCATGTTGCTTGTTCTGGTCGCTCTGGACCGTGACATCATATGGATGGTACCCGGAAGCGAGGTTTCACAGACAGGCTTGTCGATCAGGCTTGGGTCCGCGCGTGACGAGGCTTTGCGAGTCAACAAGGTAGGGCTGGTACTAGCTGAATGCTTCAGGAACAGTAGCCTTCCGCACATATCATTATCGGAAGCACTTCTGCAATGTGGCGGAGCTCATCTTGTGGAAGAGCGTGCCCATGCACAACTTGTTTCGGTACTTGGCTCAGTTGGGCTTCGGCTTCATCGGCCGGCCGGTGTGTCTGACACAGTGGACTCTGTGTTCAGCTGGCAGGAACAAAATGAGTGG